CTCTTGGTGACGAACAAATAGTACTTCCGCAACATAATTGGAATAGATTTAAAAAAATTCTTTTGAAAAGGCAGCGCTTAGGGATTATGTTTTGAGGAACAGTTAGTTTATGGAGAAAACCAAGTGCTGTTTGTCCATGAGCAGACATTCTTGCACAGGTTTTGTGGTAGAGATTGCTTCCTGGCACTAGACTTTTCAAGGAATTTACCTTGGAAAAATTAAGAATTCTAGTAGTTTCATGGGTAAAAATCTCTATACTTTTTATAGTTTAAAGAATAAAAGGTAACAGAATTAGAGACACAAAATTTCTTTCTCTGCCGTATGAGAATACTGAAGGTAAAGCTTTCCCAGAATGTATTTCCGAATGGTCATAATATAGTTAAATTCTGTATGTATTTTCATACAGATGGCCAGAGACATATTCTTGATGCAAGGCTACCCTTGTGCTAAATTTAAAATCTCTGCTCTGAAAGTGTAGCTATATTAAAACAGTTCAAAATGTATGTTATCAAGCACGTTTAATATAAGCAAATATACATGTTTTTCACCAGTCATTTTCAAAAATGGTCAGTGTTTCGTCTGAAATTTTATAAAAATTGCAGTCAGACATTTCCTGATGTGGAAATTTTTAGCTCAAGTCATTGAAACTCGACACTGCAAAATTAAGATAAAGTGGAAATAAATACAAATAGAAGAAAGAGTAAATAGAAGAAGTGTAAATAAAATGTGGCAGAAAGTGTGACAAACTTACAAATGTAGCCATAAATGGTTGCCCCAAATGTAGACTCTTAAAGCGAGAATATGAATTTGTTTCTTAAGTTTAAAGACATTCCTGTTTTATTGTCATGACCTTTTCTTAGCAGCCTGTAGCTGGTCTATTGTTATGCGTATTCTGACAGAGTGTACATACTGAAATGAAGTATAGATGCTCTTCAGGTGTAGAATAAAGTATTTACTATTTCCATATTTAGATACAGGACAATTTTTCAATGACATGCCTTGTAATTGCTTAATCAGAAAGGTTATATCAAATAGTTTTAGCAGTAGGGGGGGTTTTGATTAACTGATAATGGAGCAAACCCGTATCACAGACTATTTTGATCATTTTGCCTTGATTGCCAAATATGAGCCTGAACTTTTCCAAGAAACTTACCCAAGTTCCTAAGTCTGGTATTTATCCACGTTATAGAAACACTATAAGAAAGGCAGTATTAGCCTTTCCTGTCTTGCCAATTTATTTCATCCCTGTTTAAGAAGATCATTCCACTGATCAGAAAATTAACCAATATTTGAGGATGTGGAACACCACCAGCATAAAAGGTGTTTAGGCTCTTGAAGTACAGTTTTAGTTTTGTTGTTCCTGCATCCCTAGACCGTATCTATTTTGACATATGGTCATCCAACAGCAGGGTTAGATAGGTCAGCCTTTAATCATGGTTGGTGTTTTATTTACATTGTATTTTCAAGCACAAAGTTGTTTAAGAGTTTAGCTGTGCACTTTGAAGCATATGCAAAAACACTTTCCTATAAAATAATCTATTGCCTTTCCTATTCCAACAAAACCAGTGTTGTAAAGAGAAGTACTGTGGTACAGAACTGTTTGTTTACTGAAACAGACTTTATCTTTATTTTGGTCATGTCTTATTAAAAGTTGAAATAAATCCAAATTATCAGGTCCTCTAGGACTGGGAGAAAATAAACATGACAGCAGCCTGTGATTCAGTTTCTCACAGTTTTAATGATGCAAAGTTGTCATTAAATATGTATTTGTTTACCATTTTAAAATTTACTTGTACCTTTGTGAAAGAAATTAGAATGGCCTTGAGAGTAGTTAATTAGTCTTCAGAATGGTCTCTTCTACTATTTGCTGCTGTCTTCATAAGCAGATGAACTTCACCTGTGTGAACGAGGAATGCAAGTGGAAGATAAGAATTTAGAGATTTTATTATTAGGAAATTTAGAATATTTACTGTAATAGTAAGACTGATATTGCTTATGGAAATTTTAGTATAATTTGTATTGATTTCTGTATGTTTAACTGTTTTGTACATACGAGAAAAGATCTAATACAGTTTTCTGTACAATAAAAATATAGTGCATTTGAATAAAAACATGCAATCTAATTTATTTCATATCTGGTAAAAGGAGTTGGTAAATCCTTTTGAAAATATAGAATAAAATTATTTGTATCTACATCTATCTTTGTACTGGAAAAACTGTCAAGTAGGGTGCCTTTTTATCCTTAAAAACAGATATAGGCAGCTAGGGAAAGGAGGACAGGTTCACAAGACTACATTTTTTAGCCTAGTAGAATCTTATAGGGTCTATTACAATGACAAGAAATACATTTACCATCAAAGTCTCGCCTGATAAATGTACTTAGACTTCTGTCATATAATTCTACAAAGTTCTGATTTATGGATTGACATTTTCTAGTAAACCTTGAGTGTACTGACAATGCTGGGTTTCGTTTTGCTGAACTCAAAATACGTGAATTTGACACAATATATTCTGAATGACTCTATATGTGTATTTTATCTTTGTGCAAGTCAGTGTTTATTATATACAGAGATAAGAAGTCAATTTAAAGCAGGCTTTTCAATAAAGAAAAAGAAAAGATGCTTCATTTGAGGTAAAAATAACTGAACAGCAAGACAAAAGGCTCTCAAAGGAGAAGATGCAAAGGCTTGTTGATCTTCCTCAATAACAGCGTCGAAAGAAATGACAAAGTATTTTTCTGAATACTTACATCAGGTTTTTTAATGGTTTCATTTTTCGTCATCCCTTTGTAGAAAGTAGCAAAATAGCTGCATCCAGATTTTCCAAAGGGACCCAACAGGAATTCATTGGTTTTTTCCACACTTGTTTGGAAACGAAAGGACTCTATATTTCTTTGTATACATTGGCATAAATAAAGCAGCTGATCCCAGGTCAGTATGTCAGTGTGCTACCTAATCTGCAGGTATAGAAGGAACATACGTCAGACCACTTCCTCCCACAGACTCTTGGAGTCTGGAAGCTGTATCTGATCTGAGCCCTTCTGGTTGTTGGAGCTCTTTTGGGAATACGCCATTCATCCCAGAGCAGGTTCTCCAAAACAGCTTCCAAACATTTTCAGATATTCTGTACAAAAACCTTTGGAAATGCCTGCACCTTTTTCTTAAGAAATGTGTCACTTTGTCTCTTGTTATTCCTCTCTCTTACTGTTCTTATTATTGTTCTGTTCCCCACCCCATGCAGGCTGCTAGGTTGGACATGCTTAGGCATCTCTGGTACTGCACAAGGAGTTGTAGGCTTGCGCCAGCAGATTTCTGGGAATGGCCAGTACTGTAGTGCCCCTTCTCCCTTTATGACTTTAAGAGCCGCTAAGTAGACTTTTATATGTCATTTAAAATAAGTATCAAGGGTAGGATTTGGGCTTTTGGTGGCATGTTTAACAGTCACCAACATCTGCGTTTCACTCTTCTTCACTTCTAGCTCATGCAAACCCAGTCATTTTCAAGTTCCAAGCACAGACATTGTTATGCGTCTGTGTCAGAAAACTGTTTATAGAAGTGGATGAACTGTGTTCGTATCTGATTCTGAAGTGTGAATAATGAATTCTAATTCAGCATCTTTTTTGATTTTTTAGCTTAGCTTATTGTTTTGTTACAGAATAAAAATTACTCATGAGAGTTGAACAAAACTGCACATACTTACTTGAAATGGTACTGTTGGTGTCCTGATTGTATTTAACAGTATGCAATAAATCTGGTAAAACAGAAGTGCAGTCTTTATATATTTAAGAAGAAAAACGTGTAATGTCTGCCTGCTGTCATGATAAACTAAGCGATTTACTAGCATTTATATCCAGTTTTATTCTTCTGTAGGATCTGTTAATGAACTTCAAGATGCAGGTCCATCACCCGTTTAAAATGTGTCTATGAATTAATTACCTGGTAATGTAGCTCTCTTACTGCAAAATACCTAAAGATTGTTAGAGCTGGAATTTTTGTTTTCTTTGAGTATCTCATCTGTCCTCTGTCCAGTTCTGGGCTCCCCACTTCAAGAAAGATGAGGAGCTACTGGAGAGAGTCCAGCAGAAGGCTACGAGGATGGTGAGGGGACTGGAGCATCTCTCCTATGAGGAGAGACTGAGGGAGCTGGGCTTGTTCAGCCTGCAGAAGAGAAGGCTGAGAGGGGACCTAATAAATGCTTACAAATATCTGAAGGGTGGGTGTCAGGAGGATGGGGCCAAGCTCTTTTCAGTGGTGTCCAGTGACAGGACAAGGGGCAATGGGCCCAAACTGAGGCACAGGAAGTTCCGTCTGAGCATGAGGAAGAACTTCTTCCCTCTGAGGGTGACAGGACACTGGAACAGGCTGCCCAGGGAGGTTGTGGAGTTTCCTTCTCTGGAGATATTCAAGACCCGCCTGGACAAGGTCCTCTACAGCCTACTGTAGGCGACCCTGCTTTGGCAGGGGGGTTGGACTAGATGACCCACAGAGGTCCCTTCCAACCCCAAACATTCTGTGATTCTGTGATATGAGCAATAAGCATTTACCTTTAGCTAACTTAGGGCAAGCTACATTTTGTCTTGGCTCTCCTTCATCATGGGAGTGCCCTGCTTGCACATTCTAGCAGTCTGTGGGATAGAGATTTTAAGCATGAATCAGAAATTGTGTAGTAGGTGTGAGAAGTGAAATAAAATCTATACATTTTTCTGAGGCATGTCACTGGTTAAGTGACAAAAGTATTCTGGTAGTCACTGAAAAAGAAAAGTCAAAGGTGCATTTGAACCTGTCAGTTCAACACATTCCTGTTATCCCTTTAGGGGATATCATACAGCTTGACACCAACATTTAAGCTTTGAAAATTATGAGCTCATCTATTTCAAATGGGATGTCACATGTTCCCAAGCCTTTGCCATTACTTATAATGGAAGACAGGATGATCACTTTTGTCATACATTGATAGTGAATAAGATCTTTCTTTTTTCTTTTCTTTTTTTCTTGTTTCAGAATGAAGAACAAATTTTGGTATTTTGAATTTGGCACTTCGGAAACTTTCTCAGCCACCTGTAAGAAGCTGCATGAATCTGTAGAAATAGAAGTAAGAAACTAATTGTTGCCTTTATCCTTGAAATGTCACGAGTCTGGCTGAAATGCAGGGAGCAAGGGTGTAGAATGCCTGAATCCAACAAGGCAAAGCAGTGCACATCCTTTCGACCCTATATCCCAAAATATTATTTTTATCGTGTCTATTTGTAGTGTAGCCCTGCACACTGGAACAAAGTTCAGTTTGATGATTAGTGAAGTCTTAATACAGTAGACAAGGTCAAGAGGTGAAATATAACATTAGAAATCAATAGGGAGTGTGGTTAGGTCAGATGGAAAAATGAAAGACTGTTGGAGAAAGTGAGAGCTGCTGCAGGATTAAAATAATAAAAAAAATCTTATTATTTCTAGGTCCCAAGATTTTATAACCTTTAAAACTCAATTCCCTAAAATTGTACTTACTTTCTGAATAAAGGTTAAAGAATATATATTTTTTTTTAATCATTCCCCTTCATTAAATAGCTTTTCTCTCTGCACAAGGGGTCATCTTTCCATTATACATTGAACATTAACTGAAAAGACACAGGACAGTTACAGACAAGATGGGAATTTGAAATAATATGCTACTGCTACTTTGATGGCTGATAGAATAAGTGGCTACATTACATAAACTGTTTGGAGGGCTGAGATTTATAAATAAGTAAATGAAAAATGTGAAAGAAGTGGAGATACAAATCTGAGAATTTAAATTAAATAATGAAATAATTTCCCAAGAGGATTATGGTGCTTTTCCAATAGTAATGAGAAACTTCACAAGTCAATGGGGTGTTAGTATAGTAGCATGAGGCCCTCAGAAAGATATGGCGAGAGCTATGAGAGTCTGGTCAAAGCCTGCTGAAAGGCAAAGTCTGAAATCTGAAAGGACCGTGGATCTGGTAGAAGAGTAGCAAAGAATATTGGGACTGAAACTGTAAGACCTGTAGTGACAGACTTGCCTGTTATGTTATTGTGTTTCTTTTTAAGGTGGAAACATACTCCACACATGTTAAATTAAAAATTAAAAAAATCCCAAACAACCAAAAGAAAACTCCAGGGAAAAAAACCCAGTGACAACAAAAAACCTGTTGCTTCTGAAGACAGTGCTTTGCGCATTAGGGTTGAAGTACATGTAGCCTGAAAAATATTTGATCAGTTATTGGAAGAAATGCTTACCTGATTTGATTTGAATATACTGTGAGTTAAATGTATCATTCGATTAAATATAAATTGAAGAGTAGGCTTTCACAAGAAAATCTTTCTATCCAGCAAAAATCTTACATAGCCTGTAAGATGTGACAATCTTAAACCATCTAATTGTAACCATTGAAAAGGTTATGAAATGTTAACGTCCCAAAGCAAAAAAATATGCATACAAGTTTGTGATGCTGCTAATACCAGTTACAGAATTGTTGCCAATTCATATCAATAATGCTGTTATTACCAATGAATTATTACATAACCAGTATATGAGACATGTTTGTCAATATTCACTTCATCTGCCCTGGTCATTATCATTAGTCCTACAATTAGAAACAAAAGTCATAGGGGAAATACTTTCCAAAATGTTTACACAGGAAGTGTTAGGAGGTAGTTATTTACAGATTTATTACAGTGAGTAAATTATATTTAAATGAACAATCCTTGCCAGTATGCTTGTATCTAATGTATCTTGTTTGTGTGTTATAAACACTTAGGAGCAGCACTGTTTTCATCTGATTTTTAACTTGCTGCCCCTGGCTTGGGGATGTTACTGTAAATGAGAGCTTAGTGTATGAGAACACATTTCACTCCGAATAAAATGCCAAGGAATACATTTGCTCTACAGCCAAATTTTGAATAAACAAAGCCCATGAAGATTAAGGGTCTGTATCTCTGAGCTGGGAGACAGTGATCAAACATTCTGTGGGCAAACGCTAGATTTGACTTCTAAGCTAATTAAGCTTGGCTTTCCTGATATACATTCATATCTTTTACATTCTGTATATTTTCTTCTGTGTGAGATGCAGAACAGAGTTTGGACACTAAATTCTTATGTTATCCAGAATAAGAGATGTTTTTATTTCCAAATTGGGATCCAAGAAGTTGTGGAGAGAAACATAGGTTCTAAAGGAAAAGAAAATAGGGCAAAATTAAGTGTTTATTTTTAGTAATAACGTATCAGTAAATGAGGCTTAAGACTTCACAGTTTAGAGCACTTACTCTTTATTTGCACTTCGGAAAAAAGGAAGGTGGGTGAAGGGTATTTAATGAAAGCAGGCATAGATGCAGTGCAAGTGAGGGTGGCATGGTCCATACCTGCAGCACTGTGAAAGCATCGTGGGACCACAGGAAGCCTACTGTACCACCTGGTGTTAATGGGTGGGGGAAAGGAGTTTAGATGATCACCCAGAATATTGGACTTGGTTACTCAGCAAAGCCTTAGTCTCAGCTGTTTTCAGGCATGGGTATGTTCTCGACTTAGAGATGATCTGAAAATATTTGATATAATGAATGAAGTGTGAAAGATAATGCCTGAAAAGGGACTGAGGCCAGGAAAGAAGGTAAAAATTAAATTGAAGTGCTAGTGTTTATTTCTAATCTGGGTAGGCATGGTCCACATTTTAAAAGTGTGCTTTTGTTTTTAGCAGCATCATTGCATTTTTCTGGAATTTAAAAAAAAAAAGCAGAATACATCTGTGTTTTGTTGTGGCAGCATATGAATGTGTTAGGACAACGCAGAGCTACCTGTAGCGCAAACTTCTTGTCTGTGTATGAACAAAAGAAAACCTGCTTTACTAATTCAGAAAGTTCCTCGTCACTGTGGGATTCTGAGGTCTCGTCAAATAATTGTCTTAGCGTACTACCTGCTGTGTTCAATATTGAGTGAAAATGGAAGCCAGACCCTATGCCATCCTATTTCACAATTCTTCTTTTATTTAAATAATTCCAGTCAGTTTGGGGGACGCCAGACCTTTATAAATTAACAGCAGGGAAATACCAAAGGTGTCAGATTGCATATTTATCATCTTTCTCGTGTAATACTTAAATATGTATTAAGAAGTGACTGACATAAATTAGGCAGATTTCAGAAGCCACAGGCCGTGGCTTGTAGAGGACCCCCTTCTGCTTGACATTTCATCCTTGTCAAAGATCAAATTATTTTAATTTAGGCTGCAAATTATAAGGAATGAAGACTTCTTTGTGGGAATTCCCTGTGGTAATCTGACTTTTGTTGTTACTGCTGCTTGTCAGTGTGCAAAAGATATAATATGCATGCAAATAAGGTTAAAAAATATGTACTATCTAATTATCCAGCCAGTACATTCCACTTGAAGACAGTGGGAGGCCTGACACACAGTATGTGTTTGATTCATTGAGGCCTGCAGGGTATTTACACAAGATTACTTTTAATTATGAAATTAATATCTGTTTATCTAGAATGTATACCAGTAAGTGAGCATACACATGAGCAGAATTTTTAGTAAAATAAATCATCTTAATATTTAATACATATAAAATAAAGGGGGGAACCACAAATTTGCTTCCAAAATAAAGTGAACACCCATGCCTTTTTTCCTCTAAGAAAAGTGTGATTAAAAAGTTACACATTCAGTTACAGTAGTTGCCACAACTGTCAACTCACTTCCAGATATCTTTTGACCTAAAATTCCCTATATGAATATAATCCACAGATTTAAAATGTAGTTCTTGAAGAGCAAATATGAAATGGAAACCTTAATGTTGAAATTGTTCTCTCTCCAGATTTACACTCTTCTGAGAAGAATTAAGAAGATGTAGAATATGCATTATGATACAGTTCTGTTTTGTGATGTCAGAAAGTTTCAGGGTAAACAAATAATTATGCACAGTTATTTCTGAGTTGCACTTTGCTTTTCTTCTTCAAAGCTGTGATAAAGGTTTAGGCAGAGAGGAAAAGTGTCAGTGACCCACAGAGCAGCAAGCTGCAAGATGTCAGTGGACTATCACTGAAGCATGGTTAATGATTTTTCCAGTTTTCTTCCTGATTATTGTATGTGGAATTACAAAATGAGACCCTTAATCAGTTTTAAATGCATGACTGGACCCCCTACTGGTTTGCAGAACACTGCAGGAATAGGATCTAATGTTTTAAAAATATACTACTATGCACTATAAGGTGCATGTGACTTGCCAGGATGTCTACGTACTCTAGCTATGTTGTGAGGCAAAAAGCTAATCTACCTCTAGCCAAAGTACAAGTATATAAATCCTGAGAACTTTGGCTGGTTCAGTGAATTAATAAGTAGAACTGGATGCTTTGCCTTCCACCTGCAGGTTCAACTGTAGTTATCTAAAATTGGGTCTCTTTTTCTGCTATGGAGATTCTTCTGTATTTTACTGTGTCTTATATGGATTCGGAGTTTCCCCTGATCCTAAAACAATGTGGGTGGGGAGGAAGACTTAGCCTGGGTAAATTATAGTCTATGAGGGCTGGGTGTATCCTATCAAGCTAGGTACATCTCATCCAATGTGTGTCAGGTGAACTGTGTTTGCCAATGTTGTAGGCTTTTGCCACCTGAGAGGATGCTGCAGTTCATCACTAAACAAGCTGATAAGGTCCTTGAACCATTCTTCTGGAAGTTGAAATTAGGGTCCTTTTGTAAGATATAATTTGAAGCCAATGAGATGCCTCAATGTCCAATGTTGCTGTAGGAAGCGGGAGAAATACACATTAGTGACACAAGGTGCCCTACTGTAATGATTCCATCACTGAAGGGACTGTCCCGTAGAGTAAGATTTCTTCTGTGTGTCCAGTAAGTCTTGGAAGACTTTTGGAGTACTGATACCTCTTCTTTAGCTCCGTATTCTGTGTTTTCCTTTGGCAATGCTGCATATTTCGGACAAGTGGCTGACGGAAGATAAGAACTGTTCTGTAGCTGCATCTGCATTTTGCTGTACCCAGTTTTACTAATCCTACCTCTGAGCAGAAATTATTAGTCAGGCGTAGCCCTACGCTAACGTGCCAGTTGTGCCTTTGGATTGAAACTGGTATCAGTGTGGTGTTCTGTGCTCTCAGGGCCCGCTTAGACCGTTTTCCGTGAAGCTGTATGCTCTGTATGCAAGGGCTTTTATATTCAGTTTAATGTGGAAGGGACTTGGGTGTTGCAATGATAAGTATTGCTGCAAAATTGTGAGGCAGGCAGTTGAGCTGGAAAAGGCAATTAAAAAAAACCCAGTTATTGCTACAGAAATTCCTGTAGTATAAACTTTTTTCTGCTAATAGCTGTAGTGAAGCTACAAATATGTTTCACTTGAGTCAGTCAATAGGTAGCAGATAACAACATGGCTCTACCAAACGGTCCCACATGTAAGCACTCAAAAGCTGAGTAGGAATCATGTTTTGCTTTCTGAATGAGGGTCTGTTCCTCTCTCATATCTCCTTGCCAGATATAAGTATAGATCTTAGGTGTAAATGTTGAATAAACCATTGACAGTGTTAAGAATGATAAATTGCTGAAGAAAAATATCTGATAGGTAGATATTTCTGACTTCACTTTCTTTTTTACTGCTTTCTTTCTCTCTCCCTTTTTTTTTTTTTTTCCCCTTTTTTCTCCTTGCTAATCAGTGTGATGGAATTCAGCTAGACTTAATCAATATTTCTCTAGAAGGAATTGCCATTCTGAATATCCCAAGCATGCATGGTGGATCAAATCTTTGGGGAGAGACAAAGAAAAGACGTAGCCACCGTCGGACAGAAAAGAAGAGGTCAGATAAAAGAACCACTGTCACAGATGCCAAGGAATTGAAGTTTGTATGCCAAGGTAAGCTTGCAGATTAAAGTAGGCTATCTGGCTCTGTACGGTCAACTCAGTTGTGTAATTGCCCTTGTATTGCCTCTAATCAAGAAAAAGGATAGACAGTTCTTAGCTATTTCTTTTTATGTGCATTTAGCTTTTCTGGTGGGAAGCACTGGCGCAAAGGCATAAACAAAGATGTGCTGACAACTACAGTCTATATACTTGCAAACCTGCCTTGGATGTTACCTGTTAAGCAGACTAAGCACACCATGTGGCACTGTTTGTTACTACAATATTCAGTCTGGAAGTACCTGGAGATTTTGGAGTCAGAAAATGCTTAGTGAGCATTTATAATGCTTCTTAATGTCAGCGTGCATATAACTTGGGGATAATCATGCCCTATATATAACAAACTTTGGCCAGAGGCTGCGGGAAATTACTCCAGAGTAACAACAGCAAGTTGTCTATGCATTTTGTCTTACTATACTGTGATACTCTATGCAATCCTTGAAGGATTGTGCTGTAGTTTGCTTTCATGGGCATGATCCATCCTTTTAGGGCTCATATACTTTCCTGGTGATTAGACACACTTGCTCCATAAATTTTATTAGTAATCATAACTCTTGAGAAATCCTACAGTAAATAGTAATCTCTATTCTACTTTGTAGAATATGAATACTATGCATTGTAACACATTGCTGTGTATCACAAGTTCTAGTGATTATAAAATGTTATTCCATTCACAACAAGGGATGAACAGACCAGACTTTGAAAACATTTTGGGTTTTTTGATCTTTTTATCCTATGGAATAGAGTATCTTTTGCTTCAGAGTATATTCTTGCTTCTCCTTCGTATTCAGACTGAATAAAGATCAGGGCTTTAACTGTCTGAAGTTATTAAGATGTCCAAAACTAGTAAAAGTATCCCATTTTTTACATTTCATCAGCAGTAATTTTGAAGTCGCTAGTTACATCTTAGTTAATGAATATGTTTTGTAGTTTTAATCCTGCTAACTTATCTGAATGACAGAAGTTTAGTAATAGTTTTCCATGGCTTGGAGGTTGCACTAGGTACTAGGACTCAAAATTTCTGTGTGTTTTAGCAATTTCACATATGTTCTCAGTATCTCAAAGTAGCTTACCAATACACTCTGTCAGCTGAAATCTTATCAACTGCTAAGCTTCTGTATACACTATGATTTCTGTATTATGTTCCAACGTTCAAGAGATGGAGGCAGGCTATTGGGTGATGGGCTTGCCAAAGTTCTTCCTTTTGTGTTGCTTCTGAACATAGGGAGATAGGACATTTCACCCTTTTGATAGCAGTGAAGCAAGATGTTACAACCTCTTTAATTATTGAAGTTATATATGTATTTGATACATGTGTAACAGTGATTTCAAACTACTGGCTGGCTTTGGTGTATTAGAAGGGCGTTGCTACACTCCACTTTCTTTTTCCTGGACAGGAAAAAATAAAATAATAATAAAAATACTAAAGACTGAACAGAAGATCCTACATTATCTGTTGAAGTGTTCATAATGCAGACATTGAGCACCTTTCTTTAGAAAAGGCTTAGTTTCTAATCACTTTATATGCACGGTGGATGGAAGTAGCTTCAACGAAAGGCAATTTCAAAGCAGAGATTGACTTCTCAATGTTGTAAGCTAGAGCATCTCTAGCTTGTCACTGAGTACATGGATAATATTATTGGTTGCATCTACAGTAGCATTTTAGGGCTTAACAGGAGTACATTTCTTGGATTTCTAAATTGTCCATTTTTATTGCATTTCAATTTGCAACATTGAGCAGTCTTGAGCATGCAAACTGGATTCCTTTTTAAATGGAGGGGTGCACATGCTCTGACTGCAAATGGGCATTCAGTACATGAAACCAGGTTAAAAAAATTCAAAGTAAAACTCCAAAATTAATGTGGTGTGAACATCTGAGAACCAAGTGATATGCTGCATAGATCCATTCCTATTTTATACTGCAAGAAATAGTCACTTAATTTTGCTAGCTCCGATAGGTTCCCAGGTTAGAGTCTGCTTCTTCATCTAAGTATTCCATATTATTGCTGAATAATGGAATTAAATCAGTTTTATGTCCAGGCTTCTGAAATACTTTTGATAAATCTAAATCTACCCACCGTTGAAATAACTGACTGCCTGTCACTTCTAAAGCACTATGATTCCTTCACTGGCTTTGTACAAGCAACTCCAAGAGCCTGATATTGTCTAGCTGATGGTTTTCTTAGGCACATTTGGATTGTACTTTTCATTTGAAGAAGACATTTTACAAATTGTTAATGCCTGGTACACAAACAGGTATTGCTATATTGAGAACCATGATAAACACATAGCTGCTTGTTAACTTCTGTTTATTTATTTACTTATTCTGAATAAATATTCTTTCAGTTCATTTTATGTCCAAATAAAGCATCTAATCACTTAGCAACTAAGCACTGCACTTTCTAGGAGACAGTAATCAAACATCCTCATGTTTTCATATGGATATGTAGATCAGGTTTTGGTGTTGGGTTTTGTGTGTGTGTGTTTTTTGGTTTTTGGTTTTTTTTAATCAGATCTTATATTAGATTTCTGAGTGGCATACACATTTAGTTTTAGTCTTTTGCATTTGCAGTGCAACTGTGGGGTTTTTAACTGTATATCAGTCTGTATTCCTGTTGTCTCTGCTTTCATGGTTTTATAACTATACATTAATTGAAGTTTAGTATTTGAAGTCTGAGCCCATAACTGGGATACTTGCATGGACTAGTGGAAGCTGTCTTTTCACTATGGGCAGTTTGTTGTCCCAAGTGCGTTGTGTTGCTCCTCTTGGAACAGCCCCAGGAGGACTTCACAATCTTGCGAGGAAGAAGAAACCGCTTGTGAGGTTCTGCTGCTGTCCTCCCCCTGCTCTTGTGTGTGTCACCTAACATGAGCCATGTATGTGCAACACAGAATCATAGAATGGTAAGGGTTGGAAGGGACATTGAAAAGAATTTAGTTCCAACCCCCCTGCCATTAGTGGGGATGTCTTCCACTAGACCACGTTGCTCAGAGCTCCATCCATCCTGGCCTTGAACACTTCCAGAGTGGGGGCATCCACAGCTTCTCTGGGCAACCTGTTCCAGTGTTTCACCACCCTCATGGTGAAGAGTTTCTTCCTAATATCTAATCTAAATCTGCCCTCTTTTAGTTTAGAGACGTTCCCTCTTGTCCTGTCACTACACACCCTTGTGAAAAGTCCCTCTCCATCCTTTCTGTAGGCCCCCTTCAGGTACTGGAAGGCTGCTCTAAGGTCACCCCAGAGCCTTCTCTTCTCCAGGCTGAACAGCCCCAACTCTCTTAGCCTGTCCTCGTAGGAGAGGTACTCCAGCTCATGCTCAGCACTGCAAGAATAAGAGTCAAAGTTCTGTCAAATCTTTTTTCTTTCGTATATTTCTGTATGATTTGGGGAAGGTAAATTCCTCTGAGACTACGTCCCTCTTTTCCCCCTCCCACCCCACAGGTGTTGTCATCTATTGATGCAAAAAGGCTTGTACTGGGTTGTATTTTCTTTGCCCTTTGAATTATCCACCTCTGCATACTCAATAGCCAGACCGCAATTTGGACTTTAAGTAATCGAATGGACATCTGCTTGGAAAACAATCTGATTATATGCACATAGTTTGAAAAACAAGATAATACTGAAATGTAGTGACTTAAAATGCACACGATTTAAATACATTCCCTGCTTATCTCATTAGGAGTTGTGTGTGTAGCCTAAAGAGCAAAATTTGGCACTGATAGCGTATAGGTATGTGTGTCTGTGTGTGTATCATATTTCTATCTAACTTGTAACTGGCTTTGGTATTTTCACAGAAAACATATATGAAAATATATTTGCCTGCGCAATTTATAACATATTGGAAAGAAAACATTATTTAGCTGTAATATACTAAATATTATCCTAATCTGTTAATGGAAAAAAATACTACAGTTTTCATTCCGGCTTCTGTGCAGAACTATAGAGGGTGTTTCAACAAATGTTAGGATAAAAAATCAGATTTTTTCTAATTAGTTTCATTTTAATTTCTAATTTATCATTATAATTTCTATTGTACAAAATCAATGCATTAGGAAAAATGTCACTACAGACATATGTGACAACTGATGAAGGTAGATGAGTTAATTAGTATTTTGATTTTATGAATGTGACACTTGCAATGTTTCCATTTTTTGTTTTGTTTTAAAATCTTTTAGTATGTACATATCTATGATATATCTATCCACAATCAGGTTTTTTCTAAGTACAGATTTTAAATTGCAGATATTAGATGTAAGTGTGAAGTATCCTTGAACAGTATTTGGAAAGGATTCTTGTTTAGGTATACACAGATATTGGTAAATGCCAAAAATCAATGCTTTAAAAAGATGAACATACTGCATAGAAACTAGAGTATGAGTTGAGAAACAGAAACGTAAATAACTGAGCTACTTGTTATTTGGAAATTACATCCAAAACATAAGTTGAATTATGACAACATATCTTACAGGAAAAGTGTATACCACATAGCAAAATTTTCTTCCTCACAGAGCTACTAAATAAAATTTTGAAACCCTTTGTGACAAAAAAGGAAATAATTATTTTGAAAATCTCTCTAGTAAACCTTTTGCTGAGTGGAGTAGGATTCCTTTGGGGTGGATGTTGTTATGCTTTGATTTGCTTTCGTTGCTGAAGTTCAGTTAGAGCCCTGTCCTGAAATGGAATCTCTTTTGAAGTTTAAAGTCTCTAAAGACTTTATTGCAAACACATATGTAACTTGTTTTTGCACAAGTAGTTCCAGTCACCTCAATGGACTCATTCCTGAAGACAGTATCTATGAACTATTAATGGGTGAAACCTTTAGACCATAAATACTTCAGTGCAATACTTTCTTCCTATTTATTTTGTATATCACCAGGCCCACTGATACTTAACCAAGTACTTGCCAAGTTGATCTGCGCAGCTTGTTAAGAGCTGCATTGAGCTGTTACTCAGC